CACTCACTCACTCACTCACTCACTCACAAACACCGTTGTATCACCTGATATATATAAGCCTTAAACCAGTGGGTCGTTAAAGTTTGACAGACCTGCAATATCCCACAGCTGTAGCCGGATCACAGTGTTACTGTCCCACTGCAACACCTTCAGGGCGAAGTCCACCCCAATGGTGGCTCGGTAGTGCTGGGAGAAGATCTGATGCACATACCGCTTGATTATGGACGTCTTCCCCACTCCTAAGTCTCCGATGACCAGGACTTTGAAAAGAAGCTCCTGCTGCATGGCTGCAGGCTCGGTGATATTATGAAAACTTTCCGAAGGATGCTGAGACACATCAAAACCACAGAGCAGCTACAGTAAAGGCATTTCCTTCCGTCCTGCTGCGAACCGAAATATTATCACGTGATCTTCTATCGTCGAGAAGCGGTCGCACTCGTCTGCAATCACCGGAGTCCAACAGTCTAAATAAAATAAGGACAGCGTGAGTTCGCTTACTTCAGAGCAAACTGCAAACTTCAGCAGAAAACTCGTGGTGCGTTCACACACTCCTCGTAAACATAAGCTTCATTTTAAATTCCATCTGATGTCTTTAAAATATTCGAATAAAGCGACTCTGCAAATAACAAATTAATATCTGTCATTTAAATGTCAGGAAGTTGTGTAAAATGGATCGATGACGTCTTTGGATGTTTTCAATTAGAAAAAAATGATCGATTTAAGCTGAAGTTAGCAAATATTAGATTGTTTTACTATTTAAAAAGCAGCAATAAATGTTTTCATGACTAAATAATTTCTGTAGCCCTACATCGTGATTGCACGGAGTGTCCATCATGGCTAAAGTCAGACAGCACCGTTATTGTAATGGACCCGAAAACCAAATGCAAATCAAAGAATCCAAACTTGATTTCAGGCTAATGTGTTGGACTTTACTTCTGAACTGAATGGAGTTTTCAATACCAATGAATAAGATCAAATAAAACGCGCAAATGCGCTTTAGTCCGATCAGTGCTCCATGCTGAGAAAGAGCACTGCAGGTGCCATTTTTCTTTTGTGAGTGTTGAGATGAGAAGTACAGAAGGAGTTGGAATGTGGTACTTCATGATGAAGTCAGGGATAACAGAGGTATGTGAGGGTGGTGCAGGTCATGTATGAGGAGAGTGGTGGTGGACTGGTGGGAAAGTCAGATGGGTTCAGGGTGGGGGTGGACTATGATGTTTTGCAGACAACATTGTAATCTGTAGTGAGAGTAGGAAGAGGGTGGAAGCGAGGCTGGAGAGGTGGAGGTGTGCTCTGGAGAGAAGAGGAGGCAAAGTTAAAGAGGCAATTTTTGGATAGTGGTTATACTGCATATACTTATTTTTAGTGTACTGAAATGCAGTTTAACAAAAGAAAATACATTTTCTTTATAGAAGTACATAGTAGGTTAAAATGAAAATACTCCAGCAAATATTGTACTTATAGTACAAGAGCAAATAGAATAAGTTTAGTTGTTTTCCACTGGCTGATCATTCGCTGTCACCCTGGAGGTCTAGGGGGGAAAAAATTATAAATATATTTTTGTAAGTACTAAGTACTGATATGAAATAATCGCATGTGTGTTCGTTTCTTATTTACCGTTTTTTTTCTTCCGTATAGCACGTGAATGCATCGCCCCGGGAATCTGCTGCTGCGCTGCTGTGCGCGCCATTACGGTAATGGTACTGATGAGGGCGAGGAAGAGACGTGAGTGCGATGCTGCTGCTGTGTTCTGCTGCCATTTCATCAGCGGATCATCGCGGAAATATCAACAGCCCCGCTGTAATCAGCCAGAAGATCGGATCACCTGTCGGGCCAAACACCGCTCACCCTGTTTTCACCCTTTAAACCGGCTCACAAAGCGATGCTGCACCGGAGGCCCTGCTAATGCTCTGTATGTTACCGCCTGGGGTTTTCTGTAAGCAACAACAGAACCAGTGCTAGATTAGGGGTCATTTTTTTCTTCTTTTTTGGAAACATAATCATCAATATGGGGTTTCTTTTTTTCAAGTACTGAGCTCTGAACTTGAGGTAGGTCACACTTTATTAGTTGTTTAATTTAATTGTTGTCCAGAAAAATAATTAACTAAGTAGAGAATGCTCATTGAGCTAAGAGGGTTGGGCCTTGTGATCAAAACAAAAATAAAATAAATAAAGAACCATATAGTTTGTTGCATCATTAGTAGCACAGGACGCCTTCTTCTTATCTATGGTGATTTTTAAGCAACTATATTAAACCTGAATTCTGGCTTTATTCAAGGCCTCATTGTGTGTTATTGCTCTATAACAACCACTCTGCTATCCACATGGGGGCTGACTACGCCACTGTTTATTGAGTTGGAGAGGAGTGGCCTCCCCCTCCCTCTTTCAAATTAGATCACCCATCTGTAAATCACATGGCCACTGCTGAGACGCTATGAGCCTATTATTCCCATGTTTAGAGGAAAGCCATAATCCCAAAAAATATCCTTCTAGTCAGCACAATCTCGGGATTAAATGTAATGTTTGATCTGTTTAAACTCATTTAAGCAGATCTTTTTTTTCTGAAAAAGACGGAGGGGCTTGTGGAAGCTTTAAAGTCTGATGTTTAATCTACAGCTGTTTCCATCCCCTTTGAAGGATCCAAATTTGAAGACATGAACAGCAGGATTTTAATTGATGTTTTAGATTTTATATTTACAAAAATCCTTCCATTAGATGATGTAAAATATTTGGTTTTGTGAGGAGAGGATGCTCATTTCATTTTTTTAAGAGTCTCGTTTTAGTCTCAGTATTGGGCTTACTGTGGGTGACCCTGACTAAGTGAGTGGGGGTTTTTTTTTGTCTTGCAGAACTTATTTCAATGAGAAATGGAGACTATATGGCTTTACCAGTTTCGTCTGATAGTCATCGGAGACTCCACAGTCGGCAAGTCATGCCTGATCCGGAGGTTCACTGAGGGCCGCTTCGCACAGGTGTCAGACCCGACCGTCGGGGTGGACTTCTTCTCCCGTCTTGTGGAGATCGAGCCGGGGAAAAGAATCAAACTTCAGATCTGGGACACGGCAGGACAGGAGAGGTTCAGGTAAAGACAGACTCCTGATTTCTTTCTCATGTGTCCACAAAAACTAGATTTTGGACTATAAACAAGACTCTCCTCATACTTCAAAAGCACACACTACACATGCTTCCGTCAGATGGGCATTAAAGCTCAGTTAGGCCACGTTAAGATGACATGTTTTGACATTTTCCTTCATTAACATTACTGCATGAGTTCTCTGTCCATCTGCTGTTAACACTAAACTAAAAGTTTATTAGGTGAAAACTATCTCAACCAGATGGGTAATTAAGCTGTTTAACCTCATTTGAAAATTAAAGTTTATATTTGTGATCATTTTAATATCTTAATAAGAGTCAGAGAGAGGATAGGGAAGCCACAAACTTTGCTCTTTTGGTTGGATTGGATCACAGTGGAGGGGGGGGGAGACTTTCAGCTGCTCCTTTATTTCCCAAAGGGGTCGCCGCAGCAGATGGATCCGCATGTTTTGTTTGGCACAAATCTTATGCCGGTTGCCCCTCCTGATGCAACACTCCCATTAATCCAGCTCAGGACTGGCACAGGCAGTACACCAGCTTGTGTTTCCCTGAGGCTGGTTTGGGTCTTTTGCTGGTCTCGAAATAAAAAGAATCTACTTTTGGCAGCTCCCTTATTCAAAAAGTGGTCGCCACAGCGGGTAGCTCTGCATGTTTGGAAAGAAAAATAATAATTAAAAAACAAACAAACAAACAAACAAAAACTAAACAAACCAAAACCCCAGAATATCTCCAGTCTAATCCTTTTCTGGGTTTAGAATTCACATTTTTAATGATTTGGCAATCATGGGAAAAAAAACAATTCATGAAGTCATGACTATGTTTTTTTCTAAAGGGGTCACTTCTAAATATGTAAATTCAATGATATAAAATATTAAAACTTGCAGCCAAATGAAAACAGTCCACAAAATACAAATAAAATATTAAAAAGTAGATTTTTTTCAACCTGATGCTAATCACGTGTTGAAGAAGCTGGAAAGAGTTGTATATAACAGTATGGCCTACATTTCCAGCTGCCAGCTTTTTGATTCATGCTGATATTGTGTAAACATGGAAATCAGAGTGTATTTTTAAAAGAAAACATTTTTTAAAAAATGGGGGAAATAATTAGTTGATCCCCTGCTGAATTTGTGAGTTTTTTCACTTACAAAGAAATGAACAGTCTCTAATTTTTATTGTAGTTTTTAATGTCGAGACACAGAATATCAATACAAAATCCAGAAAAAACACATTCAATGAATGTTATATAATTGGTTTGCATGTCGCTGAACTGTGTCATGATGGACTGACCTTTTGCAGCCTCACAAAAATTTGCTTTAGAAGTCACGTTTACAGGCCCGTGCTAAGTTTGCCGGTGAACAAATGATTGAGAGAAGGCTTAGGAGAAAGTGATGTGATCAGGTGGTCTTTGGCATCAACGTTACCCTTCGTGTTTGGATGAAGAGAGATGTTGAGTATGATTCAAAGAATACCATCCCCACTATCAAGCACAGAGGTGGAAACATTTTTCTGCTAAGGGTACAGGACAACGTCACTGATTTAAAGACCAGAATCTTGGATGAGAACCTCCTCTCAGCCAAAACACCAAAGATGGGTCATGGATGGGTCTTCCGCCATGACAGTGACCAAATGTGTCAGAAATAAGGACGGACAGAGGTTCACCTGTATTCATCTGCAAAAGAAAGAAAAGAACAAAAAATCGGTACAAATTGTATAACGGTAGTTTTGGTTTTTTTTTAGCAAAAACTACTCAAACAGATGCAACTTGTTCATTTGTAGGGGACCCTTTTTTTCCACTGTGGGTGTGGTCTTCTGCCAGTTATTCACGTCTGCATTCCTGCACACCTCTTTCTGTGCAGGTCAATCACCAGAGCCTACTACCGCAACTCAGTGGGTGGCCTCTTGCTCTTTGACATCACAAACCGCCGCTCCTTTCAAAACGTCCACAACTGGCTGGAGGAGGCGCAGAGCCACGTCCAGCCGCACAGCATCATCTTCCTGCTGGTCGGCCACAAGTGTGACCTGGAAGCCCAGCGTCAGGTGACTCAGCAGGAGGCGGAGAAGCTGGCGGGGGCCTACGGGATGCGCTATGTGGAGACCTCTGCACGGGAGGCCATCAATGTGGAGAAGGTGTAGTTTTTGTTTGTTTTTATTCCATATGTAGTTCATCTTTTTTTTTAATTGAAAAAGTGGGATATTATAGGAAAG